TCATATAGCAGTCACTATAATCATGGCCTCATGGGTTTTGTGGAATCTCACAGAGCTTGCTAAAGGAATCTGCTTGAAGAATTATGAATATCTGGGGAGTGGGGAGGTTTATGACAAAGTGAACAAGAAATGGACTCTTGAGCTTCCAACAGATTCTCRCTTGCTAGTATATCTTTTTTTATTTTGGTAGGATGAGGTGGGGGATCTCTGTTAATAACACTTCACTGCTTTCATTACAGGAAGTAACAGAGAAACTTATTTTGCAAGTGCTTTGGGTCCTCACGTTATTATTTTCTTCTTTTGTTGTATATGCCCATTTGTGAATTTCATAATTGTGATTTTGAAGGTCAAAGGATTGACATGATCTTATAAGCATTGACATTTTAAACTCTCCTCTGCTATTTGTTATTTGTGAAAATTCAATGGTTCAGTAAATAACCAGAACTAGTTTGATTTTCACAAAGAAAACCAGAAATTATAACAGTCTTAAATGCCCAAAATTTGAGCCCAAAATAATGGCAGATGGTGTTTTCTTCTATCGTTCCAGAGGAAAAACTTGAATTAGGCTCAAATTGGGTTTAAAAGAAGAGGCAGCATGGTTTATTTCCGAAAATTTTAGGGGCATTTAAGACTTTGTGACATGGTTTTCAATCTATGTCCAAGGAGTAAAATTGGAAAGAGAGGAAAAATATAACAATTTACCCAGGAAAGTAGGTGTTGCAAAAGAACATGGGAAAATAAGAAACTTCATTTACCTGGATAAATCAAACAAAAAAAAGAACATGCGTGTAAATGCACTTACCCAGAAAACACTTACCTGCGTAAGTGCATTTACCCAGGTAAATGTGTTTCCGAAAAAAGAACATGGCCTGAGTGTCTAAAGTATTAACGGGATCTTTGTCATGGTTGAATCCTTAAATCCAATGGGTCCATAGAAGGTCTTACAATAAATGGAGTTGGCAAAGTAATAGCTATTAGTTCCTGTACTTGGAAGCAATCAACGAGGTGGGGTCCCCCTCCCCTAGATGTAATCAAGTCAAATTTAGATGGATGTTCTATTCGTATACTAGGTGCTCCAATTTCTAACGTGGTGCTTCTAGAGCTGACTAATAAGTTTCCTGTATATTCAAGAACATAGGTTTTGAAGATTCTCATGAATCATAGAAATTGGTAGCACTTCAGGGACATGGACTGGTGTTTCTCCTTTAACTTCAACTTGGTGGTTTTCTTTGTCAGTAGTAACAAAAGATTTATTGGTAAAACATGAAAACATAGATAAAGGGAATAGAACACACAAGCAAGAAAGGAAATATATAAAAAAAAATACACTATAGATTAAATTTTTTCACTTCTATACAGCATAGGATCAAACTGCCAAATTGAGTGTCTGATCAGAAACCCAGATTACATCAGGTTTTTTGATAAAAATATATCATTTGTATGAAGGAGGCATTTGGTCTTTGGGATACAGGTTTTCTGTTTTGTTTAGTGTAGGTATGTTGTATATTCTCAATGGCAGCCCCAGGGACCCATTCCATTCTTGTCCTCATCTCCCCCATAAACTTTTTAATTTCCCTAATCATATTCCCGGTGGAGGTCACCAAACATCATGTAAAGGATTTTCTTTTTATGAATGATCATGCAAATGATTCTTTACAGTGGAAGAAATGGCCACTAGTTGCTACTATAGCGGAATTGTATACCACCTCCAGATTTAAGTAAGACCCTTTCTTATACAAATTTGATCATCTGAACTAGGTTCCAGCTTAGCTAGTTAAAAGGTTTCACTGCAAAATATAAAACAAATTAGATTCTATTTAGGTATATATTGAGGGGAAATGATTTAATTTTCACTTTTGTTAGTATGGAATGGTCGTATACAAAATACCATGGGGGTCATTCTTTCCAATGAGCTAGCTCATGTTGATATCAGGGAAATAATGCTATTGAATGGAAGTCACAAATCCTTTAATCAATATAGCTAAGATTGTCACAGTCGTTATTTGAAGATTGATAAAAAGTGGGCAATTTACGTACTGAGAATCATTAAAATCCTAATTCAATTATTTCTTGCCTGAATCCTTCAAATTAGGCTATGGGGATTAGTTTAGAATTCATTTAATTGATAAAGCACCCTCTTGTTTGCAGCAACAGATAAACCATCAACATAACAACTTTTGCATGAAAATATCCATAAAGCATAATCTTTCTTGATTAATTCGTTGTGAACGTAGGCAAATACTACCTCCTAAAAGTGCTTTTATAAAAGTGCTTTCATAAAAGTACTTCCATAAAAGTATTTTTATAAAAGTACTTTCATTAAAGTGATTTCATAAAAGTGCTTTCATAAAAGTACTTTCATGTAAAAGTACTTTCATAAAAATGCTTTTGTAAAAGTGCTTTAATATAAAAGTAGTTTTACAAAAGTGTTTTTGTAAAAGTACTTTTGTAAAAGTGATTTTACAAAAGTAGACATCTATGACAACAGTTTTATAGGTAGAATTTCCTCAAAAAATGAAACAAACAAGGTGAAGTATGATTATTTTTCATGTTGCAAGCTCATGGGGCTGATTTTTTGTTCTAAAAAGAATGTGACCGTTGGCAAGAATTTTATAACCAAACACTCTATTATTCATTTTTGCCCATTCTTGCCTAGAATGGACAAGAATTAAAACATGGCCTTATAATCCGTCCATGCCAGAAGGTATTTAAGCAGTCTAACTATCTCGCTCCTTAATCAACGCTACTCTTTTAATTTACCGCTTCTTCTTCTTCTTCTTCTTCAGTTCACCATACTCATGGCTGCCGTCAGAATCTTGGAAGAACATTTGCCTGAGTTAAAGAAGAAGCTGTACGAATTACAGCAACTGTGCGGGAAGGAAGAGTTTCAATTCGTGAATAACGCATCTAATGCAGCCTTAGGAAGGGTGGAAAATTCGGAGTGGGAGCAGCTCATAAACCGCTTCAATAATCTGTCGGATCTCTTCGGTCAACATGCCACTCAAATCCAGGATACCATAGCCGAACTTACATGTATCATCCACGACATCATGAAGATAAAATCCACAAGTTCTTATGTTGCCTACGGCTTGCCCTCTTCTCAATCTCAGCTGGAAGGGGACCCTGATGATGTCTTTGTTCGGAAAGCGTCGAGAGAATGGGGTGACCTTGGCATCGAAGAGAAGATGTTGAAGAGTTCAGTCATCACCGATCTTAGGCTGAGTTTCGATTATCTCACAACACCCGAACTCAAGCTCTGCTTGCTTTGCTTCTCCGTCTTCCCAGAGAATGCTGTCATTAAAAAAAGGGAATTAATCTACTGGTGGATTGGTGAGGGCTTCGTAACAACCGCGGGAGACAAGACCGCCGAAGAAATCGGCCATGAATACATCCGCGAGTTAATGAACAACCACTTGATCGAGCCCTTCCCGGAAATAGGATCTCAAGAAGCAAAGTGCTGCAAAATGCACCCTTGGGTTCGACAGATGGTGATTTCTGTCGCTAAGGAAGCTCAGTTCTTCGACTTTTATCCCATGGAACATCCCACCTCCGAGAACAATGAAAGGTCGGGGAGTCGCCTCGAAACTTCCTCACGATCTCGTCGGGCATGCTTAGCGACAACCAGTCGTCAAGGGTCTCCAGATCTAGAAAGACTGTATCACAAAGAGCTGCTGACACTATTCAATGTTGATGCTTGTTATCTTGATTTCAGAACGGATACATTCTCGAGGATGACGAAGCTAGTGGTTCTGCAACTAGGCAGGTGGAAGAGATGGCCCAAGCATCACATCGAAGTGGAAGATACCGGTTTCCTTGAAGGCTTGAGGGGTATGAAGCACTTGAGGTATCTGAGTCTCCAAGGCATATCTAGAATAACGAATCTTCCAGCTTCCATAAGCAAGCTCACCCACCTCACCATCTTGGACCTCCGAGCGTGTCACAACCTCGAGGAATTGCCTCCTGAGTTGGCGTCTCTGAAGAACCTGACTCACTTGGACCTGTCCGACTGTTACTTGATAGAGTACGTTCCTAAGGGGATCGGCTCCTTCTCCGAGTTACAGGTGCTGAAGGGATTTGTTATCGGTAATTCCAAGATCAATGACTCATGTACGCTAAGCGAGTTAGTTGAATTGCAGAGACTGAGGAAGCTAAGTATCAATATAGCAAGCGACGCAGTTGTTGCGGAAGGTGAGTTTGATAAATTGCAACAGTTGAAGGATCTTCGTTCTCTAACCATAACATGGGCACTAAAAGAAGAGAAGCAGGACGATAACGGTATACGGTCATCGACGGACGCAGTTGCAGAAAGCCTGGACTCCATTTCATTTCCTACAGGCCTCAAAAAACTAGACCTCCGATGCATCCCTCGTGAAGAGGCACCAAACTGGCTCGAGCCCAGAAAACTGGAGAATCTGGAAAAGCTATACATCAGGGGAGGGAAACTGAATCGATTACTGTGGGATCAACAGGATCCCACCTGGAAAAAAGTCCGAGTTTTGCGTCTGAGGTTCCTAGACAGCTTGGAGATGGAGTGGACCAAGTTGCGGAGAGCATTCCCATGCCTAGAATATCTTAACGTAGTTAATTGCCCTCGGCTCAGGAGGTTCCCCTGCAATGCTCAGGGAGATTGGGAGAAGCGAAAGAACCACCCCTGATTAGAATTTTATCTTGTGTTCTTTCCCATGTTGGGGATAAGTGATTGATTAATGTCCTTCTTTAGTGTTTTTAATGGGAAATAAAAAGCTAAACAAAATAGCTAAGAAGGGAAATCTAAAATCTCTCAGCTGGGAAATTTTCTTGCAGAGATGAAATATAATCAAATTCAGCAGAAAACTTTTAGACATTATTTCCTTTCCCATTTCACACTTCTTTCTTTTCCGTGGCTCTTATTTCTCCTAATTGATCATGTGCTATGTAACAATGCATTAATCTATATCTTTTATATTTCCTTCCAGAAATTCTAAAACAGTTTGTAGGGCATGGAGAGGAGAGCCCATCTGATGACTATTTAATCCTGATTCTAAATGTGGATGATCTCATTTTTCCTTTTTTTTGGAGCAGTAAAAATGAGAAAAGGATTCAAGCGCAGGGTAAACTACAGACCATGGTAGCAGAGATGTATTTTGGGTCTTTTATCAACACCATCTGTACAAAATTTAGTGTTGAAATTACCTGCGGCCCACTTCCTTTCCAGCTTATTTGTTATGCTTAAAAAAATGGATCAGTAGGTGAGGGTGCAAATGACTTGCTATTCTAATCAGACTTTAATAGATGTTGTTGCAATTCAGGCTTATAATCCCACTGCTGTCTTTAACAAGACTATCCGGGTAAATTTTCCCTTTCATCATATCAATTTTCTGTTTGTTTGCAGTGCAAATCTGAGCCTCAAACAATTTTTTTCCTACTTCAGTTTTGCATCCCTTTGTAATTATGATTTACACTCCTATCTGAAACCTAAATTTGTACTTTTTGTCTCATTTTCACTCATTGTCAGTGCAGATTTTGCATCTCAAAAACTTTGTGCCACCTTATTCCTACCTCAATTTCTCTCTCATATAAAGTAGGGAGTGGGGACTATATCATCTTTCTTCTTATCTCACTCCCAGTCCCAAACAAATAACCCTCCTACTTCCATTCTCTTTCATATAAGGTGGAGACCACATTAGTTTACTTCCTATTTTACTTCTCACAAACAAATAACATAGAATCAAATCTGAAAAAAAAGTAAATCAGAATATACTCTCAACTTATTTGCACTCCCAGCATTTACACCATTACAAATGAAATTCACACCACAAACAAACTGAGCCATACCAAAATAAAAAGATTACAGGCAGTGGGGTTTTGTTCAAATACTTTTCTCTTTTAAAAGGTCGTCAGAATGTCAGATATAGTTTTCTGGGTTTTGTTCAAATGCTAAGATCTCCCCTCGGGTTTACTTAACCTACCCCTTATAGTTTGGGATTAAGTTATTCCACCCCTCCCTACTATTACCTGTTAGTTTTAGCCAGTGATGGAACATGCTGACGTGCCATTTCAATCTTTTCAAAAATCCATTTTACCTTCATTTGGCACGGATATGAAATGGATAAAAATTTCACCATTAACTTTGTGGTGGGTATGAAAGGTTGAAAATAGGTTCATGAAAAACTAAAAATGACAATAAAAATTTGAGATTTTAAAACTGTATTCATTGTTTATAAATAAGGATGCTTTTATTAATATATATTTTAAAAGCAAAGCTTCTATTATTGTTAAGGGCATTTTGGTGAAAAAACTCTTATTTTCTATCCATTTGATTGACAACTCCAGTGGTTTGGTGGTCAAAAGGGGTATAACTCTTTGTTTATGTCTTGGGTTGAAACAAATTACTATAATTTGCCCCGCCTATGAATCAATCAGCATTTTCACAAATTTAATAAATGAAGGCCCTTATTTTCATATTTGTTATTAATTACTTTAATTTTGAATCTATTAACTCTTTTAAAATTTCGAATATCAAATTGTACCCCCATGAATGGATTGTTGAAAAATCCACCTAATCATTCAAATCTTTGTTGCAAAGTCTATAAACTATATTCCCTCTGTTTGAATCATCAATCATAAGAACTTACTTCAATTTTGACTGTAACTCCAAGTAGTATCTGGTAAGAGGAAATGAGGAATAAGTATCTGACTGAAGTTATAAGTAATTCACCCAAAAAGAAAATCACCATACCTTTCTTCCTAGTCTTGCGTGAGGTAGGGTTGCAAACAGATCGGATCAGATACAATATACCTAGATCCAAATTGGACTCATTAATAGATCAAATCTTATCCATTAAATAACATTAATGAATTGAATTTGGATTGGAATTGGACATTAAATAACATTAATGAATTAAACTAATAATTATATATTGTTATTAAAATAGACAAAAATGACTTTCATTGTATATCATCAACAAAATGATTGAAAAATAACTTGTATGAAACTTAAATCTGTGATTTTTTAGTAAAAATACAACATCCAAACCAGTTTTACTAATAAATAAAATGTAAATCTTATATATATATATATATATAAACTGAATTAGATTGAATAGTAGTGGATCCAGATTCTGTTCAATTATAAATGAATTGAATCTGGATTACCCTTAACGGGATCAAAGTTGAATTTGGACAAACAGATAACATTTGCAGCCCTAATGTGAGGAAGGTCATCAGGCTTAGAAGTGTCACACATGATCAGGATGAAATGTACTGCAACAGTTCTTTACTGTTTGTCTCTTTCATCTTTCAAGCTCAACTTTGAGCACAAGTCATGGTGGAAAGAAAGAATTGCAGGATGGATTGGCCAGGACAGAGAGGACAAGGGGCTTCTAACTCTTCAAGCTTTTCCTATGTATTGCGATTTTTGGTCTGAGAAGGAAACCTGGGTAAAACAGCATTCTAACTGTAGACTGCCTACACAAAAGCTTGCTATTTCCAATCAATCACGCAACTGGGCAACATGGTCCAAAAATATTTTGTTGGGCATGTTATGGACGCACGCGAACATAGGCAGCAGCACGCACAGCAGTGCGCGCCACCACGCACAGCAGCACTTAGGAGCCGCGCACGCACCATCCGGCAGCAGCACTAGAGAGGGGCCCACACGACAGCTCAGCAGGGTGGGTCCACACTTATCTTGCCACAACAGCTCTGCTCACCAACTCGCCGCCAGCTACATCATTCCTCATCCCTTATCCTTATCTTATCTTATCTTCTTAAGTAAGAGTTGTATTACCATTAGGAGTTTGAGTTTGAGTTGGATTACCCTAGCCTAGCCGAATCCAACAAGGAATTCCCCTCTGTAATCTCCTATTTAAGGAGCTACGAGTTGAAGTAAAGGCATTCAGTTTTTCGACCAAGAAAGGTGTAAGGAGAGTTCGGGTGGTCTCTTGGACAAATCACCCATTCGGTCTTCCACAATAGGGTCTGCACGCAAGGGAAGGCGCAAGGGGAAGCAAGAGGTTCTCCCCGTGGACCGACCCATGGCGAGATCCTACGCCTGGGCCCATAACATTCTGGTATCAGAGCCTACTGTCATGGGGGAACAGGAGCCGTTGTCTTCCAGGGTCCATGAGCTAGAGCATAGGCTCGCTGAAACCAACTTGGAGGTTCGTGAGGTCAAGGATGATGTCCGGGAGCTGCGACGCCTGCTGGAAGCGTTCCTCTCCAACAAAGAAAGAAGCTCTGAGGGAACCGCCACCACCAACAGCCGCCGTCCGGACTGGGCAGAGAATCCAGCAAATAGCAGATCGCTGCCCCAACAGTCGCTGTTATTCCCAAGTATAGCCGGCTGGAATTTCCATCTTACAGCGGCACCGGAGACCCGTTAGGATGGCTGTATCGCTGCGAACAGTTCTTCCGTAACCAGCGTACTGATGACAAGGATAAAGTTAGTCTAGCCACCTTCCACCTATCAGAAGAGGCGCAACTCTGGTTCTACAGACTGGAGCAAGAAGAACCGGGTCTCAGCTGGGGGTAGTTTAAATCATATTGTCTCCTCAGGTTCGGACCACCGTTGACAAGCAACCTGCTGGGCGAGTTAATCAACCTCAAGCAAACTAGAACTATGGCAGAATACCAATGCTAGTTCCAAACCCTTCTCGCCAGAGCAACCTCGGTTCACGCAGATCAGCAAGTCGACATGTTCACCGCGGGGCTAGCAGAATCCCTAAGAGTGGACGTGGAGATGCAACACCCTCCCAACCTGGTCACAGGCATGAACCTAGCACGTGCCTTCGAACGCAAACTACAACTCAGCCACGAAACCTTCAGTATGGGGCGGCCTCCATCAGCATGGGCATCCCCAGAACCACTCGGAATGGCTCCATATCCAGCAGCCAGCCAGGAACGGAAGCCACAGATGAGCACCAATTCCAGATTAGCATCCAGTGTGGGGGGCAGCGTCGGTACACCCCCTATTAAGCACTTGTCCAGGGCTGAGATGGCAGATCCCAGGGCGAGGGGGCAATGTTTTAATTGCGATGAACTCTACTCAGCAGGGCACAAGTGCAAGAGACTTTTCTGCCTCCTGGTGAAACAAGAGGAAGATGAGGATGAACCCCCTTCATTAGAACCCGATCTAGGAGGGCAAAGTCATTCCACCTATCCGGGATTCCTTTGACGGTGTTTCCCGACACCCATCCTGAATTCGAGCTTGAGGACAAGCTCGTAGTCCAAGAGGGGTGTGATGTTATGGACGCACGCAAACATAGGCAGCAGCACGCACAGCAGCATGCGCCGCCCGACAGCAGCACTTAGGAGCCGCGCACGCACCATCCGGCAGCAGCACTAGAGAGGGGCCCACACGACAGCTTAGCAGGGTGGGTCCACACTTATCTTGCCACAATTATCTTCTTAGGTAAGAGTTGTATTACCATTAGGAGTAGGTAATTAGGAGTTTGAGTTTGAGTTGGATTACCCTAGCCTAGCCGAATCCAACAAGGAATTCCCTTCTGTAATCTCCTATTTAAGGAGCTACGAGTTGAAGTAAAGGCATTCAGTTTTTCGACCAAGAAAGGTGTAAGGAGAGTTCGGGTGGTCTCTTGGACAAATCACCCATTCGGTCTTCCACAATAGGGTCTGCACGCAAGGGAAGGCGCAAGGGGAAGCAAGAGGTTCTCCCCGTGGACCGACCCGTGACGAGATCCTACGCCCGGGCCCATAACAGGGCATAAGATGTACTTGGAAGTAACTTACCTATAACATTAATTTATTATAAATGACCTATTGTTTCATAAATTAGCCTTTCAAGTGCATTCAAGAAAAATAATAATTAACAAACAACATATCAACCAATTAGTTGATATTCTGAAGAAAAATAAAGTTAATTTTTCCCATAAGTTGCAAATTACACACCATTCTTCTGATTGTAATTCTTAAAATTACTGTAAGGCACTATACATAACTGGATAATCCAGTTTACGGTAAAATGTAGGAGCAGCAGCAGGCCATTAGTCCCATTAACTGACAATGGACCATTCTCACTTATCACCATCAATCATGAATAATTTAGTAAATAAAATGAAAGCTACTATCTTGAAAATCATAGGCAAGAAAGACTGGCTTTAAGCAGTAATCTAAGTTGGTTAGGCAAAGCTCACCAGCCTTGGCCTATAAGCCACAACCAATCAAGTGTCACCCCAGCCTACAAAAACAAAACTCCATAACCTTTGATTAGAAAAAATAAAAGCAAGAACAAGGAAAAAGAAATAGCATCCTCAATACAACTTTAATTGTTATGCTTACAAGTTAACCAAACTTTTCCTAGCTAATAGTATACTTGACTACCTTTTGGTGCTGCAATGAGGACACAAACAGTTAGATAACCATTAGTCAATTCCAAGAATAACATCAACATGATCATCCGGCCTTGCTCTCCATATTTAGTTGTGAAGTAGAAAGGTGGGATGAGAAAAAAATGAGAAAGAATTGCAATCATTAGGCCCTTCTATGACTTTAAGAGTCAGGATTTTTATGAGGGATGCATCTTCCAATAAGATCCCACACATTATACATCGCAATCAGAACAAGTGCGTACCTGAAAGATCACCAAATATGAGACATGATTTGCACAGAAAAAGAAAACAGAGCCATTACACACAATGAGGAGGATATTTTCCTTATGAAAAAAGAGTTAATTTTTACACTTTCAGGTACTAGTAAATTAAGCACGTGCATTGCACGTGAGAAATTTTTTTAACATTAATTATTTGAATTTTAGATATATCATAATTAAGATAAAAATTGAAAATTAACAAAAGTAACAATATGATTAAAAATAAACTCAAATGCTTGTAATAAATGTGCACATGCATTGCATGTGAAAATTTTAAATTACAATAACAATTATTATTATTATAATTATTATTAAATTTTGTATTCCATTAATTTTTGCTATAAATAAAAATAAATTTTATTTTAACAATGATTTTTATTTATTATGATGAATATATAACATTATAAATGTTCCCAAATGCAATAGAATTTTGTGTTTTATCTTTTTTAAATATTTATTATTCAATTATGACATCATGGGTTTCTTTGAAAAGTTGGACCATTGACCCACCATCTAGATAAGAAAATAGCTTTACTTTTTTATTTGTTTTAAATTATATATCAACTACATTATATAAATAATTTTTACTTATTATACTTAATTTTTGTTTGACATAATTAATATATAACTTTATATATTATTTTGATTACTTGTACTTTTTTATTTTTTAAAGATTTATTATTTAAATATCATATCATCGGTTAATCCATTTGACCCAAACCACTAGCCCACAACCCAAAAAGGAAAATAATTTGGCCCAAATTTTTTCTATTTTTTTGTTATTATTTATATTTTCTATTTTTAAAAATTTTATTATTTGACTATGATATCATTTTATTTATAGGTTGGTCTTAACTTTGGCATTCCATTTTCATCATTAATAAAATTACTATACATTTCATATGTATTTTCATTTAGTATAATGAATATGCAATAATAGAGATATGTCCAATTCTTTTTATTTTTTGTATATATTTTAATTTTGTATTATTAAATATGACATTATTTATTAACCCATTTGACCCAAAATGGTTGAATTTCTTACCCACCATTGGGAGGGAAGAAAATAGTTTTGTTTTCAAATTTTTTTTCAAAATATTTATTTTTATAATATTAAAATTAATTTTATGGATTTAATGAGAGAATATACCTTAGTATGAGATTTAATAAGAGAGAACAGGAAAATAGTTTTATTTCTAATTGTTTTTAAATTTTACATTCCATTTCCATCATTAATAAAAACATTTCTTATTTATCATACTTATTATTGTTTAATATGTTGAATATATGATGTTAAAAATGTTCCCAATTTTTTTAATTTCTATATTTGTTGCATTTTATTAATTTTATTACTTAGTTGTGACAACATGGATTGGCCCAATGGTTGGGTTGCTATACTGCAACCTGGGCGATCAGGGTTCAAATCATGGAAACAGCCTCTCTGTGTATCTGCAGGGGTAAGGCTGCATATATCTATCCCTCCCCAGACCCCACATTGGCCGAAGACTCATGTACTGGGCTGCCCTTTTACTATGACGTAAAATAACCTGATAATGGTCATCACATATGACTGAATTAAACTAAGTTCTTAGTTGAACAAAAACAAATAAAATGTCAGTTGAACAGACCCCTGGTGTCTATTACTTTAGTGCAAGTTAAGAAGCAAAAGAGAAACTCTTCAAGTTGCATCATAATTTTAGTGTTGAGGTTCTTTCACTGACAAACTGAACAGGACTTCAGCCATTTATAGTCGTGTTTTTTTCCATATCATGATACTAGAGTTTAACTTAGTGCTGTGTTTGGTTTCTTTGAAAGATATATATATATATATATATATATATATAGGTAGATAGATAGATAGATAGATATTGATCAGCTTTCTTCGAAAAATAAGCTAGAAAGGGAAGTTGTGGGAAAGTCCTTAAGTTATTCTTTGTCAACTTTACCATTTTCAGTAATTTTACTAGAAATCAAATGCAGCTTAACTGTTTTTTTTTCATATTTTAATCTTTTATTATGGATGTAAAAAAGAGAGAACTGAGACATGACAAAGAACTTCTGAAATTCAAATCTGAAGACTGCAAAGAAAGGTGATGCTTAATGCCAACATTAAGATGATCTAGTTACAAATTGCTTCTTATAACCTCACAAGATATCTATTAGTGCTAACTAAATTTTTTCTTATTGAATGTCAATGATAAAATTTCACTATCCAGCATCCTATTCATTTCTTTTCCCTTTTCCATAATGAAATCTGCTGACTCCTTGAAGGATTTTGTGAAACTTCATGCTATTATTTAGGAGGCAAGTATGGAATAATATAACCATTACGGGAACAGTCCCTGGAAAACATCCCAAGGAGAAATAGATAAAAAATTTATACAATCTTTAGAACTTACCTGCTTAATGTTAAGAGTATCTCATAGATAAAACTTTATAGCCAATTTTGGAGAAATAGAAGTTAAGCAACGTAAAGATTTTTGTCCCTTTTCTTTCTTTGTTTCTTTGTTTCTTCTTTATTTATTTTTATCTTGTGAGGTCAGTGTCATATGCACATTGTTATCTGTCTCAAATTCCACCAAGCTATTAGTTTAATATTTATTGTCCATTACAACAGTATTAATAGGAGAAGAAAAAATAATATTTCTAAAAAATTAGCAAATGTAAATTTATTCTATAGAGATAAGGACGTCCAGCAATTGATATATTACATACTAGTGCCCTTGCGAAGTCCATCCTTAGAGTTCTCGAAGATTGCTTTCATAATTAGCCTTAAAAACCTGAGGTGATGCAGCCATTCCAGCTAAGAAAGACTGCAAAATCCATAATAACATGATAATTCGTAAATCTTGAAATGTGATTTATTCAATTTGGAAGTAAATATAAAAATCAGAGGATATACAAGACACTAACCACAATTACCTATTTGAATGAATTCGCGGCACATGAAGGAGAGGTCTCCAACTCCAACCATTCCACCCTGAACATGAGCATCTGCAACTCCAAAAACACCACTGATAGCACATATACCAATATAAGTCACAACTCCCCCTTTGCCAGATTTAGCCAAATCCAACTATCACATAGACAGAATAGGATAAGTTGGATTGGCAGGAAATAATGGTGAAATATAGTAAAATGGATAGTGTATGAAATATCAAGTCCAGGTGTTTCAGTTCACAAAGTTGTTCGAACAATGCAATACAAGAGAATGTTGATAGAACTTACAATTAATACCAACAAAGAACTAATGAATAAAAGGATATATAAAGTTAAGTTTCGCCTCTTGTATTAACTTTTGTCTCATTGTATGCTGATCTTTCAAGACTTCCAAGTGTGAAAGGTTGATAAATGAGGGTAAGAACCTTAGTAGGGTGGTAGCGCTGCAAAGGAATGAACAAAATGTTGTAGCCTCATTATATGAGCCAAAATGAAATAACAATGAAAAGTGTGTTTAGAAATATGGTAAGGTGTTTTCTAAACCATATGATCCACAAGTTTTTTCCTTGCATATCTGTATGACAAAGTATTAACTGGATCATCAATCTACAGTACATCTTATGGACTTCTTTCTATATGCTCACCAAGTCTAGAGATGCTGATGTATATGTTCACCAAGTCTACAAAATCCACAAGGACTAGGCAATTTATATTGCTTAGGAGACTTAATTTATAATAGTCTTAATTTATTGGAACATTAATAAATTAAGCAAGAAGCATTTATAATAGCTTTCAGATGCTTTTCATTGAATACATTTCATTTACTTTTGATTTATGTTGGATATAAGATAATCTATTCTTTTTATTTTCACTGCAAATAAGATATTCTATTCATATCTACCTATTTCATTGAACCATAACCTAGGAAACTGGCAATTGCATAATCTCTTGCCTGGGCACCTCACTCAGGCGGCTCCATCGCCTAGGCTTACCTAGGCATTCAGAGGACATTGAAATGATCCATTTAACAGCATAGCTGGTCATGATCAAAAGATATTGCCATAAATGAACTTGAAATATAAAATTTTAGGGTGTCTTGGCTACTGAGTCAATTCAGAGGCACCTAAACAGTTTCTGATCTACTCGGTTCACAGACAGGCCAAATTTATTTGGAAGAAATAAATTTTCAAGCTAAGACTACAAAATATGCTTTTGTCTATTGGAGATTAACATTGGCAATAAAATTGTGGTGATTGAAATCTTGACCTATCTTCTACCAAAAGAAATAAATCTTGACCTATCATATGGAAGACGAGCAGATTAGCTATCTTGAAGACAACTGTGCAAAAGTGGATAAGTCATGGTTAGATCTAGATGGAAATTCTTGATCCCCCCTGTCAAATATCCAACAGGTTATTTGCTTCATTTTTGGGTTTTAGCCCTCTTTTAAGTCTGCTAACAGGAAAAATCATTTCTTTCTCTTTTTTCTTTTCTTTCAGAATATTGGGCCATTTGATAACTGTTGAAGTGGATGAATTGAATGACTCATAGCTTTGTCTTTAGTGGATAAAATATTTCAGCATCAATCATCATCATCTAAGCGTTGTCCCAACTATATGAGGTTCGCTACATAAATCCTGTTTCACCATTCCATTCTGTTCGGTGCCACACCCATTAGTGGATAAAATATTTAAATAGTAAAATATTCAAGAATATAATAAACAATTCAACTTCATCTTCAGTCGTTAAGGAGCAAACAACCTCCTTAAGAACTTATTCACGAAAGACAAAGCAACAAGTCATTCAGTTCAGCCATTTCAGCTGTTATCAAATAGCCCCTAAAAACTAACAGGTAGATCTGGTTCAGTTTTGGGTTTGAAGGGTTCCTGCTCTGTCCAACCTGGATTTTCAAAAGGGAAAGAGGAAAACGAAAAGCTAATCAACCTAGTTTTCCATCAGGCCGGCTAGACACACAATCCAGTTACGCATATTCCCCAAGTAAGATCTTCTTCCAGACCAGCCATTGCCAACCAAGATCCAGAACTTTGTATAGTATCTTTCTTTGAGAAGAGTTAGGTCAATTTCCTTAATATGTCAAATGCCAAAAAGTGTAAGACCTACAAGCAATGTTTGTTTACATTGACAAGCGATATGCAGAGTTACAAAGCATAAGATAATATAATACCAAAAAGCATGAGACATAAAGAGAAGGGAAGTTCACCATTTACCGGAAACAAGTAAACAAAGTAATCTTCAATTGTTAGCATACTGTTCCACGAGAAGAGGCACCCATTTCCAAGGAGCCAACATACTATGATTGCAGCAGTCTCCCCCTGATGGTCATAGAAGAACTGTATCAGGAATTTTTTTGTTTTCAAAAACCCAGAATTGTATCTCCAGCGATAAAATTCCTTCTTCCCCTGTGTAAAGCAATTAAAGTTTTTAAATCACAAACCTTATGCTTGATTGGAGTTTTACTTCCACCAGTTGTAGGCATGTTTGCTTACTAGCAAGCAGTATCAACATAAAAATAAGGCATTGGCATTGGACCAGTTAATATTAGAATTCTTTAAAACCTCAGAGAAAGAAAAGAAAATCACCTCAGTCTAGAAAAGAGATTAGAATATTGCTTCTGAAGTCTGGACTAAATTTGAAGTGTTATATCCTTAGGCTTTCCTCTACCAATCTAAAATAGAAGTCTAATTTAGATTTCACGAAAATGAGAAGATAACCTGAAGCACAGATATGTTGTGATAAAATTTATTATTTCACAAACCCACTTCATATTTGCTGCAATATAGCCAGACTAAGAACTTAAATAACTCATTCAACAACGTAAGTCATCCCAACAAAAGAAATGTTACACAGATATCAACTTAGAATTTCATGTCAAAAGTCATAAAACCACCAAATATATAGATGAAAGTTGAAAACTTGGATATCATACGCTGTCGTGACGATCAAAACAATCCCAACACTGTCAAGGTCTAGCAAGAATGGAAATACAGAGTATAACAAATTGTAGCCGATCAAACTATATTATAAGTTATAACAGTATGTGAATCCATTATAGAACAATTCACTTACCAGACAGAAATACAGAGAGAGATACTAAGCTCTGACGTTTGGCAATGTAACTCCGAAGTTAGGTCAATTTCCGCTTTCCGAAAGACGGAACATCATTTGGCAAAAGGGTAAAATACAAAAACCTTCTCGGAAGTTTATAGCAATCATAAGAACCTCCCTTTTAGTTTCATTTTAACAAAATCCTCCCCTAAGCTTTTAAGAATTCGGCAAAATCCTCTCTTCCGTTATTGACACAGACGGAAAATCTAAGGCACTCGGTTCTCTGTTTTTTGGGTCGCCGGTCTAATTGTAAACTAAAATCCAACTTGACATTGCTCTTCCTTATTTTCAAATAACAAACTGGTTCAATTCTCCTCCACTTTGCTGTTCTTAATGGGTGCACCACTCAAAAGTAGAACATCTTCTTCTAAATTTCTTCTAAGTAGGGTGAGCATTCGGTTTTTTCGGTTTAAAATCGAACCGAAAAAACCACAATTTTAAAAACCAATCTAGTGAAATGAAAAACCGAAACCAAAATCGAAATGTACTAAAATCAATTAAACCGAACCGAAACTTTTTCGGTTATTTCGGATATTTCAGTTAAAACCGAAATAATGGACATGAGCATGAAGCACATGTGCCATGTGAAACTGATAGAGTTATGAAAACTCAAAATCACTTAAAAGTTAAAACCAAAATTGTCACTGTTACATTATCAAAAGCTCCACCACTTCTATCCTCTGATTTCTAAACACAAATAAAAGTCCCTTACAAAGAAAGTGAAGAAGAAGAACTACTGTTTTGTTGATCGGTTTCTACGAAAAGGGAGGGAGGGCTGCGGACTGGGCGGCTGCTTATTCGTATTCCCTCTTTTATTGGATTTATTTAATTGTTTAATAAATTTGGGCTTTTGGAAAACATTATATGCAACAAGGACCACAATTGTATTGTGTCCCATCGAATGACCCAATGATATAGAGTTTCAAAACTAAATCAGTTTTTTCGGTTAACCGATCTATCAATCATGAGAACCGAAACCGAAAACCGAATTATGTATTAACCGAATTCTAAAACCGAAACTGACCGAAACACCAATTAAAAGGAACCAATTAAATTGAAACCAAAATTTCGATTTTAACCGAATTATGTTCACTCCTACTTCCAAGTGTATAGCACATCATCTTCACTCTGCAACACCAATATCTCAAATATCAACTTTCAAGTTTATTGTTTTTTTTTTTCCTTTAATGGCCAAGCGTCTTGGGTTTCTCTAGTTTTTTAATTTTTTTTTTTCTTGTGGAACATGGTTTTTTCCTGGTTTGACGAGATCTTCTATGGTCATGCCTTCTACTCATCTCCTCTCCAATTCAAAAACTCCACCGATAACATAGCTTTCTCTTTATCTACTTCTTTCGCATTTGCCATTGTCCCCGAGTATCTGAACCTTGTTGGGCATGACCTCGGTTTCATAATCTCTCCAACGAAAGAGCTCAAAGGAGAACTTCTGAGCCAGTATCTCGGAACCAAATCCAACGAATGAACCCAATGCTAGCCATGCCAAGAACTTCTCCAACCATGTTTTCATTGTGGAATTTGACACAGTTCAAGACTTCGAGTTTGACATCAATGACAATCATGTCAGGATCAACATCAATGACTTGAAGTCGAATGTGTCTATTACCGTCGCTTATTATATCAATATGTCAACAAAGACCTTAATCTCAAAAGCGGCAAGATGATATAGGCGTAGATACATTATGATTCGTTGCTGTGAAAAATGGATTGTAACAAAGCCTAAGAAGTGTTGTTTATCGAGTGTGGGCAATTCCAGTATTTTAAGATACTTTTAATAATGTACTAACGACCATTAGGCCGGATTTCGGCCGGGTTTTGCCTCTTTACAAACAAAAAATTACTAGGCTCAAGCCTAACCTGATCCGACCATCGGGTCTAGATCTTGATAGGTATTTTATAACATATTAATTATATATTATATATTATATAATATTTTATACATTTAATATATGTAATAATTTTTTGCTATTGATTTTATTATTATATAATATATATTATGTATTATTAGCATATATATTTTATTTCTGTTATATATTTAATATGATCGGGCTAGGTTTAGGCTCGGGCCAGTCTTATTTGGGAAACCCCGAGCCCGACCTAAAAGATAGTTGGGCCCAATTTTTAGAGCCTGGGCCTGAGCTTGCAGGCTTAAAATTTTGTCTAAGCTCAATTTAAGACGAGTCGGGCCGAGCCAGCCCGTCGAGCTACCTGGCCCATGAACAAGTCTAATCGGGGACAACTTTGTAACTTTATAGATTTTCTATCTACTTTAATAACGGAAGGGGGATTTTATTGAATTATTTAAAAGTTTAGGGGAGGTTTTTATGATTGTTAAAAACTTTAAGGGAGGCTTTTGTATTTTACCCAAGCTAAAATGTGAAAAAAAAGCAAAAAAATTGAATCATCATTTAAAAAAGTTAATTACTTAAAGTATCGTTAAGGTTTCTCACAAAGGTTTCAAAATCTTAGGGCCTCTTCCTTTTGCACTAAACTCTGAAGTCTTAGGCCAAACAATGTTCCCACTTGTTCCTATTCTTTTAGAAATTCTTCGGGAGTAACAGATACGTTTGGCAAATTGTTCTTCGAGAACGATTTTTTGTTCTACAAGAACAGAAATAGCGTTTGGATAATGAAACTATTTCTTAACAGCAGTTTTGCAAATCCACCCACATTAAGCCTAAAATTAACCATTAAAAACATGTGTTATTGTCATAGCGATGTCTTCATGTTGTCACTACCTAATCCTTGATCACTTGAGGATCAAAACAAAACATACAAGCAATAAAACAAAAGCCCAACATGCCATGATGCAACAACACCTGCAAGCAATAATGGCTATAAATCGATCCCTATTTCGTGCATTTTGTTCTTTTCACACTTCAACATGTCTGCCACCATCACGGGGTATGAATTGGTCTACCCAAATGAAATCATTTTTGTGTGTCTGTTTATAAAAAACTCTATTATTAAATATCCAAAATATTTCATAACAAAAAACACATAACCAATAAGAGATGTACCACTCCGATAGGGCATCGATAGAACCACATGCATCCGGCCACATCCACAAGCACAAATTGGACATTGATTGTTGATTTCCATACTGCATAAAAAAACAAGCACATTACATGTAGAGATTTTCAAATGTTTGGTAGCAAAATATCATATACACAACCCGTTCATAACCAAAGTGTCATTCTACTAGTCATTGTTACATTATTCATAACAAACCATGCAAAATAAGGAAATCAAAGTATATCCTAGGCCATTTGATTGAATCAGCTATTTGATTTGCAATTATTTCTCGTCGAAGTATTGCCATTTCCGGCATATTATCTGCATTCACTTCATTATTGACCGATTGATGTCCATCATCTGGATCTTCTTCCTCTTCAAGATTACCGTTCCCATATTCATTAAAAAGATCATCATCAATCTTGTGAACCACACATGCAACCACCACTATCTTGCACTGTGTTCTCAAAGAAAATGATGGCATGAGTTTTAAGATTGGAAATCTTGCTTTTAGCACACCAAAGCACCACTCTAAATAGTTACGTAAGCTTGAATGCCTATTTAAACTCCTTTCTCACACCGTTGGACATCTTTGTCTTCGAAAGTCGGACAAATGGTATTTCTCTCCTTGAAATGGCACAAGAAAACCAGTTTGGCTAGGGAACACCAAATCGCCAAGGTAGTATTTTCCTATAAATATTTATCACATTTGATGGAAATCCAAAAAATGGTAAAAAATTTTACCTTGCGGTAGGAGAGGAAAACCGACACTGGGTCTAGTTAGTGCTTCCAAAAAAGCACGTAAATCATTGGTGGAGCCTTCCCATCCTGCATACACAAATGTAAAGCACATATCAAAACTACATACAAATAATACATTGTGTGGTAACTTGCTTCCTACCACGATACGGGATTTGTTGGTTTGCTGGTACACTTGCATAAATATGTATGTGTCTCATCTATGGCACCAATACAATCCTAAAAAATGAGAGAGAACAATTAACTTAAATATCAATGATATGATATGAGCCCTAATAATCATGATATTAAATGTGAATATTGGCTTACTTTAAAGAATGGATACAACTTAGGATTGGTAGCAACCTGTAGAGGAGTGTCAAATGTAGTAGGGGGTGTTATAAGACTTAATGCCAGTTTGACAATTGCATTCAACACATCCTTGAAATGACGGTGAATTGTCTCACCAAAGTGCTGCTAAAAATCAACTGCCATCCTATTGGATAATCAATGGCACATGATCGACAAAAAAATTCCCATCTGCTCCACTAATACAAACCTAGAATCTTTCGATATCCCATTCTCCATTAAAATTTTACACAAGTGAATGAACACATGAGGCTCCATCCTGAAAACAAAAACATCTTGGCACCTTTCATGGTGTCCATTAAGAACTACGAAGATATACCTCGCACCTCTATCCAAATCTATTCTTTTTGGCTCCTTATATAATTTTTAATGATATTTGTCAGGAACATGTAAAATAACTCAATCACCTCATCATCGCCATCATTACAACCAAGAGAAACATTATTGTGGTTCATCCTATTGGTTTATGAATAAAATATCACATAAAACATTTCACTGGCAGATATAAAGATAAATTCAACATTTGTTTCAAAATAAGAACCATTAACCACAAGTTCAATTAGTTAAAAGTATCCAAAGTAATCAAATTCAAGTACTTAAACATGCTATAGCTCGAAATAGTTCACACCATTGGTTTTAAAGTTCAACAAAACATAACAAAACCAAGTTTTAACACACATCTAATCCTCCTCCTCCAATAACCAGATTCTTTTGTCTTCTTCTATAGTAATAAATATTTCCCTCCAATTCTACTTGATTGCCCTCATGTATAATTGCTTGCTCAAACCTTTCATACTCTGAACAATTTCTTGACACTTTCTTATAGAGAAATCTGGAGTCACTATCTCCATAGTGTTGGTTGTCTTCTGTCTAATGTAAGTTGTGAAAGCCTGACATATTTCAACTATGGCTT